CTCGATTGGGGGTCTGGGAAGTCGTAAGAAAGCAACTCAATTTACAAGCTGTCAGACACTGGCAGAATACCTGTTGATTAAAGTATTGAGAGTCTGTCTGGTGAGGCAACATTGGGAGTTGGGCATTGGCAGTGGTAAATTGCATCACAATCAAGTGACAATCGGGATGATTTCAATTACAACACTGAGGAGGAAGGGGGTCCTTAAGATTCGTGGGGGAACTTTGTGGCCATGGAATCAAGACCTCATGGCCACTCGGGGTCAGATGGTTCATAAGAATGAGTGATTGAGTTGGGTTTCGCGCCACTTTTAGCAATATTCCTGCAGTAACATTGCAGACACCAGAAATGAGATTCACACACTGTGCCCATGTGGGGAATTGAACCCAGATCCTCAAAATGACAAGCAAACGCTTTAACCACTGGGCTACCAAGCCGCCCCCGAATGACCACATGGGTACAGTGTGTGAAGCCCATTTCTGTTGTCCCTGATATTCTGGTGATATTGCTGGAATATTGCTAAAAGCAGCATAAAACTAAACTCACTCACTCTCTCACTCACCCTGTACAGTACAGTACAGTACAGTACTATACTAATTCATATGTACAAATTACCACCCGTCCCATCCTTCTTGACCAATCATGGACAAATTGAACAATCACATTTCGTCTTGCGGTTAGTTTTTATTAACAATTAAATTTTGAAACCAGAGAGGATGGGTTTGGTGCTGACAAACCAATGATTGCAATCAAGCAAACCTGGGATTCAAACCCATGGCGATACGATCATACCCAAGGGACACAACTCTGCATAATGTATCCTGGCTCCCTAGGCAACAGGCTGTTATTGCCCTGACATATATGTTGATCTGTGTATATAAGATTGCATTCACAGAATAACAACAACTGTCATTAGAAACACATTTTGACAAGGCATCGGTTACTGAGGTGAACACATGCCCAGAGGAGATATCATGAAAACAGGGATGTGATATATCAGAAGCGATGAAGTACATCGCAGGTACGTGTTCGTCATTCAGCCAGGGAGCTGGGGCTGTAGCGGCGTTGTGTAGACTGAAGGGTTGTGGTACACATGGGAAATAGAAGCTTGATCTGCCCCAGGAGAGATGTTGTTGTTTTTTCCTGTATATTGTTTTGTGTGGGAAATGTTGGCAAGTACATGGGCCCAGCCACCATGTTGTAACGTTTAGACTGAGGTGGAAGATGAACAGCAGGGTGTGGGGGTGAAGCTGGTTGACCCTGGGGGTCAGACCGTTCATGTTCCAGTAAATGTGGGGATGTTAATGGGTAGCGGACAGGTCCTGGAGTAAAAGCCTGTAATATGCCTGAATCTTGAGTGGATGTGTATGGAAATGGAAATTAACCATTATTCAGTTATTCAAGAGTCCTAGGTGACAGGACTTATAATTTCTGTTTAAACCCAGTTATGTTAAGGCTGAATAACAAGAAGTGTCATTTCTAAATTTCTGTACTTGTGCTAGGCCAAATGTAGAGATAACATCATTATCAGGTAACATGATACACCAGGCCTTATCACCCATACTGCATATCCTGATCATGTTGAACATCAGTGCTTGTCACCGTCCATTAAACCATGTGGTTAATACTCATGCAGTTGGTCTATGAACATGTGGACACTGTTTCAACAGCGGGGGTAATTAGGTGTTCTTGTTTGTTTTAGTAACCTGATACATTCTGTGTCTAGTTCCACATTGACAAGAATCTCTGAGGGTGGATCGGAGTTGTCATACCAAATGGACTATCTGGTGATAACGCTTTATACTGCTTAAACTGAGTAGATCCTAAAAGATCGAACTTTTCTAAGACCGGGTTTTGGCCTAGGACTATCTGGTAGAACACAGTTTGAGATCGAACCCCAGACCTTCCATTCTCCAGACAGACACTCTGTCCACAAGACCATCAGGGAGGTCAAGTGTTGTTAGATGTAAGGGTATAACATCCATTTGTAGTGAAAGAGTATGGAAAGGCTTTGTGTGAGCTTTGGTTTGGGACATATTGGTTGTTTGAGCTAAATGGTTGGGGGAATTGCACTTATGAGCCATCCATGATCCAAGGGGAAGGCACATTTGCGTTAAGGCATTGCAACAGGGAAAAGTTTAATGAGAGACCTTCTCATAAAACAGAATTAGAATAATGACGGTCATCAGTCCATGTTGTAATATGGGAGTTATAATCATCTTTTGGCCAAGTTTGGATGGGAACAAGGAAGGTACATGACCTTTGAAACAGGGATAAGTTATAAGTGAACTAGAGACTCCTTTGACAAACAATCTTAGGACTATGACTGCCATAATACCATGTTGAAATATGGGAGTTGTGATCATCTGGGGGTAAGTTTGTGGATGGGAGCATGGAAGGTAAAGCATGGAAGGTAAATGATGATAGAGCTGTATCACATATGCTCACGGTCAAAGCGATTGTTTCTGATGTAAAGATACAGACCAGGGGATCAAGTTGACAAGGCTTATGCTATATGTACATGTTGTATTTATGGCTAATTGTAAACCACATACCTACTACCACAGATTATACGTGAAGGTCCGGGTTAGAATATTGATCTCCAGTAACCCATGCTTGTCGCAAGAGGCGACTAACGGGATCGGGTGGTCAGGCTCGCTGACTTGGTTGATACATGTCATCGGTTCCCAATTGCACAGATCGATGCTCATGCTGTTGATCACTGGATTGTCTTGTCCAGACTTGATTATTTACAGATCGCCGCCATATAGCTGGAATATTGCTGAGTGTGGCGTAAAACTCAACTCACTCATGTCACTCACTACCACAGATAGATGTCTTGCAACATTATCGAGATGGACGTTTCTGCGCCATGCTCTCTGATGTACACTGGTACAGGCACAGAGCAGAAAATAGAATGTTCCAGTCCATGATCCTCTCATTGTGTACACAAGCAGGTATATCTGATGCAGATGTTCGACACATTCACCTGCCACAAGCTGAGGAAACAGCCATGCCTGCTCACTGCAACAAGTGGTCCAACTGTTCCACTATTGCTGTCTGTGACTTTCAGCACTAATCTGAAGTCTGAGTCTAGAAATATCTTGTCTTTCAAGCTCAGTTAATGATACAATTACTAAATGTCCGAACCTGTATTGTCTGAAGAAAGTTTGGGCTGGTAGACTTAAATGTTTTTGTGAGTTGTGTTTATTTGTGCTACAATCTTGAAACCTGTAGCCAACATTTGATTGCCGAAAATATAGAATCCTGAACAACATTTGGTTGGAGGTGTCAGTGCTTAGAATCAATTATTAATATTATAATTTACGCCTCAAAATGTTGTTTGGGGTGATAACAAGTTTTATAATGCTTTCTGATGATTTGGCAAGAGCCCTCTTACTTCACAAATACCCTTGAAGGTCCGGGTTAGAATTGATCTTCCACAACCCATGCTTGTCGTAAGAGGCAACTAACGGGATCGATTGGTGAGGCTGAATGACTTAAGACATGTCATCATATCCCAATTGCATGAATTTCAAATACTGTTGATCACTGGATTGTCTGGTCCACATTGGAATATTGCTGAGTGAGGTGTTAAACAACAAACAAACAAAAATACTTCACAAAGAAGCTTCACATCATCAGCTATTGGCTTTCTTTTTGATAGGGGGTACCAATTAAAACAATGCCAATTATCTTGCCTCACACATAAATGTCGTTTTCTGATTGGCTGAGCGCTCTTCTATTATTTCAATGTCCCCCTCGTTTACAAGCAATTAACAGTTTCGATGTACCCCCTGGGAATGCCGAACTCATTTGGTACTTTGTGGTAGTAATTCTTTATCTCGAATAACATTGAATCACGTATGATGTACAGAAATTACCGATGTTTTGTGAATGCAAATCTATGGAAGGGAGATAACTCTAAATTTGTTTTTCTTGTCGTCTTGTCGTCTGGTACTCCATACTATGATCCGATACCCGTGCTTCAAACAATTCAAAATTACCATTGAGGTGTTCGGTAAGATAAATATGTTGTTCACTGGGTTGATGTACCCTCGATGTTTCTTTATGTTCCCCTCGCCCTTCAGACAAACATAAACATACATCGAGGGTACATCAGCCCATGTCCCCCTCGAGACCAGTGAACAACTTATAATGTCATCAGATTGAAACCCATCTGACATGAGTCACCATCCGCTGCCACTCTGACAACAATAGTACTGCAGTGTGATGTCAGGCAACAGATACATAATAATAATAATAATGTGTCCATTTATATAGCGCCAATCTCCACACTAGGTATGCTCATAGCGCTTACAATCAAGGCACAGCACATTATTACCCCGGATAACCCAAGCTGCCTGTTAGGCGCTAGAAGGTTATAGTCATATGACTGTTTTCCACCGGGTACCCATTTTCCTGCTGGGTGAACAGAGACAATTTTGAACAAACTCACTTGCCTAAGGTGAGACCACATGTGTCACATGTGTAACATGTGCTTCGTTGTGGGGCAGGACTCAAGTCCTAGAAACTCTCAGGAGTCAAGCTGCCAAACACGGTCACCCATCCAAGGACTCTCCGAGCTCGACGCTGCTTAACTTCACCGATTTGTGACCTGAGCTTTGAGCACAGGACCACGCGCCACCACACTGTTTATAGGCATATTGTATGAGTAACAGTTACTATCAGAAGAGCAGGATATGCTAACCCTTTATGCTTTACCCAACACCTGGTGTCATCACTGATTGTCTTTGGCATTGGGGTAGCCTAGTGGTTAAAGCATTTGCTCGTCATGTCAAAGACCCGGGTCAATTCCCCACATGGTTACACTCACTCACTCACAGATTTTCGGTGAACCATTCATATTGTTTTCACCACCAATTTGCCTTTATGCTCAATGGAATCTGTTTTCTAGTTATTTTAAACTGTATTTTCTCTTGATTTTTATAACTATTTGTATTCTTACAATCTATGTTACAATAAAGTGTTGTGTTCCAGGTCTGGTGAAGCTTAGCGTCCACTGCATGACTGGCAAGAGGGTGGCCATCAAGATAGTCAACAGGGAGAAGCTCAGCGAGTCCGTCCTCATGAAGGTCAGTATGTCAGCACCATGCCGCACCTTTCACCATTCATGCAGATACACGCACATGTGCATAAAGCAGAGTGGTTTGGTCAGTTTTTATTAAGACCAACGACTCTCTTGATAATATTTTTTAGAATCCAAGACAAAAAATATGGGAGTGTGGTAGCCTAGTGGTTAAAACATTCGCTCTTCACGCCGAAGATCTGGGTTCGATTCCCCACAATGTGGTACAATGTGTGAAGCCCATTTCTGGTGTATCCGACGATGATATTGCTGGAATATTGCTAAAAGCAGCGTAAATCTAAACTGACTCCCATATGTAATATTAAAGGAAAGACATTATCACCGGATACAAACTGGTTTCACCGACCGTGTGGCACCCTTTACTCACATGTAGGATGGCGTATTTTATATCTGTTATGTACTGCATGTATCCAAGCTCAAACTGGGATTAACAGTAACAATGGCAGCTTTAAGGTCCATCAGACTCGGAGCATGGTAACTTGGTTATGAACCGCCATATAGTGAGAATATTACCGAGTGCCGTTTTATATATATGTATTTACCTTTTACTGTATTTATGTGCTTTTGCTATATATATGTACATTTTAAAAATATTCTCTCAAAATCCTTTTGGGTGGCTCATATATTTTGATGGTGATAGTACAATGTATATTTTATAATAATATGTGAGGTGAGCCTGTAATATACTGTCTGTCTGTGTCTGTCTGTCTGTCTGTCTGTCTGTGCATCTGTCTGTCTGAAGGTCTGTCTGTGTGTGTGTGTGTGTGTCTGTCTGTCTGAACGTCACACCGAAGACCCGGGTTCGAATCCCCACATGGGTATAATGAGTGAAGCCTATTTCTGGTGTCCCCTGCCGTGATATTGGTGGAATATTGCTAACAGCGGCGTAAAACCAAACTCAGTCAGTCAGTCAGTCTGTCTGAAGGTCTGTCTGTGTGTGTGTCTGTATTTCTGCCTGTCTGTCGGTTTGTCTGTGTGTGTGTGTCTGTCTGGAGGTCTGTGTGTCTGTCTGTCTGCATTAAATAGGTAACAAATGAAAGTAATGAACAAGTTCAACTGTGACATGTCCAACAAGTGATTTAACATCCACCAACATGTGGGGCATTTTCAAGATGACTAACCAGTAAGGGATGGGTATTGCTAAAAATATTTCATTGCGATATGAGCTGGCATATTGCGAAATGTGAAAACCTTAATTTTATTAATGAAGAAAGTTTTGCGGGGGGATATAGTCGTCACCTCGTCCGTCTGTCCATCCGTCCCTCCGTAATCATTTTGTTTCCGGAGCATAACTCAAAACACGTTCAATATTTTTCAACAAAACTTGGTAGATACATCAAACAAAACCTAAAGTGGTGCCTTTTGCTATTTGCAGGTTTATGTCATTTATATTTTTCTTGGTTTCCATGGAAACGTTTCTTACTTAGTCTCAAAAGGGAGGGGTGGGCTTCGTTTCCGGATCACAACTCGAAAACCGTTCAATATCTTTCTACAAGACTTGACATATATATCAAACAGATCTTGAAGTATTGCCTTTTTTCTATTTGCAGATATTTGGCATTTTTATTTTTCATGGAAACAATAGTCCAAACAAATCAAGTTGGACTTGAAGTAACTGTCAGTTGATTTGTTCTTTCAAATTTATGGGGGTCGGGGGGATTTGTCATCTCCTGATGACTCTTGTTGTTATTACATGCACTTCAACAGTCAACACATGTCATATTGTTGGTGCTCAAAGTTCAGAACAGGAAACCAAAAACCAGCTGCAAGATATGGCATTATTCTAATCCCCTTAAAATGTCTTCATACTCAAAAGTTCGCTGGCTAGCCAATCAGTGTGTAAGTCGATGTGGAAAGAGGAAACAAGTGAAGAACATTATCACATAACAACATTATCCTAAAATCCTTTAGGCTTTAAGTGTTCAAAAGACCTTTAGATTATGCAATGTTTTTCACAATTAACTGCTTTCCAATATATTTTCAAACTAAAATTCTTCCAAATAGAAGATTTCCCCGTGTGATTTGGACACAAGTAAACCTGGCGTCTGCCATCTTGCTTTGTTTAGCCAGTTACCGATGACACGATGAACACTCTAATTACGTTGGTTTGACAATTTTTTTCATTTAGCTCATATAATCTGAAAAAATTACCACTTAACAGTATAAAATGCCTTCATTTTACAAAAGAAATAATGAAATTAGAAATAAAAATTAATAAACTTCCGAAGATTACCGATCAGGCCAACTGAAACACAAGAGCGTATCGTGAGAACCAGTTCACGAAATATGTATTGCGATATATTGTATTGGGAAACTTGATGTTTGATTTATTGGTTAACCGGTAATAGTGCACAACCCTAGTAACCAATTAGATAGTTTCGTTGACAAGTACTGATCATTTCATCCATCATCCCGAAAACCTTGTACAACAATATCATGGGTTCTCAAAACTACATGGTTTAAATTCATATGCAGACAATTTCATCCCATAATAAGATCTACTAGGAATTAGGAAGCATTCATTGTCAAGAAATAGTGATTATTCCCCCCAGAAGAAGCTATGACATGCATGTCTTGCACCAAAGGAACCCACCGTGATTGCCATTAACTGCTACAACTGTCATTTCAGTACTTCTTATATCAGTTGATCTTTGGTAATGAAGACAGATTCAATAGACCTAATAAAGTAAAAAAAAAATCAAAGTTGGAGAAACTGCCATTGATTGACCTTATTTTTAAAATCTATCCCAAAATTCAATACGTTTTTTATCACTATGGAAACCGAACAATAATTAGCCCCAAAGGGAGTTTGGGAGGTTTGAGTAACTTGTAAGGGAAATAGGCAGTTTTTGTTGGTAAGGAGGTGATCAGAAAGAATTTGAAGGAATGTGATTACTTAGCTTTGTGATATTTGCTGATAAGATTACTTTGGGAGGAAAGAGTGTGTGATTGACTTGAAGATATGCGACAAAGTTTTGAAACTAATAAACCAGTGCAAAATTGGTTTTGGTTAATAAGAACACTGTTAGATTATGTCCGTAATTGAGTTTGTAGAGGTTATTTACATTGTGGACAAAAGTGCTGAGTCGGTGCATTTACTGGTGCCTGGTTCAAGACATGGACACATCTGTTCGTCAGAAATAATGAGGTTACAGTTTAGTGCATCGTGAAAACTTTCCCTTACATTGATTCTCCGGGGCGATTCCTGGTTAGAATTGGGCTACAGCAAAATGTAATGGTCTTGGGTGTGAGTGAGTGAGTGAGTTTAGGGTTATGCAGCACTCAGCAATATTGCAGCTATGGGTTGGCAGTGTGTAATAATCGAGTCTGGACCAGACAATCCAGTGATCAACAGCATGAGCAACCATCTACGCAATTTGGATACGATGACATGTCAACCAAGGCAGCAAACCTGACCACCCTATCCCGTTAGTTGGCTCTTACGACAAGCATGGGTTTCTGATGACCAATTCTAACCCGCATCTTCACGGGTCCAATGGATGCGACCAAATGGGTCGTGTGGTCAGGCTGCGTTAATCTTGTATCATCACACCCTGACTCTGTATTGTTGCTCAACCATGCTTGTCGTAAGAGGCGACTAACGGGATCGGGTGGTCAGGCTCGCTGACTTGGTTGACACGTGTCATCGGTTCCCAGTTGCGTAGACCGATCCTCATGCTGTTGATCACTGGATTGTCTGGTCCAGACTCAATTATTTACAGACCGCCACCATATAGCTGGAATACTGCTGAGTGTGGCGTTAAACTAAACTCACTCACTCACTCACTGTATTGTGATAGCCATAGGTGCATAGCTGAGTATTTACGTCCAGCTGCCATCTAGCTGGAATAGTGTTGAGTTAAATGTTAAGCAGCAAACATGTTTTGAAACAATTACATGATTGACACATATAATGGAGCTCAAATTAATTGTAAAGAAACTAATGCGTACAATACTTCTTTGTATTTAGTTTGGTTGATTCATTTCTGCAGTAGGACAGATGATATGGGCCCTTTTTGTTCAACTAGTAATGGTGAAAGTTTAAAATATTATGAACATTTTTGACACATTTTGTCTGAAATATGTATTTGATGTTAAATACATACAAAATTTGAAAAGAAAGAAAAATATATTTGTCATTCATTGAACACATCTGTGATTTTTTAGTGATAAGCCCATTACCTGAATAAACCAGATCTTGTGAGCTATAACTGCTTTATCTTACCTAGTCCTTCAGTTTGGTTGGTATATCTCTCGTATCCCCTAGATGATTGAATACTGTACCTTATCCAGACAAGCATCGAATTTTCATGGATCGTGTTGCCTCCTCACTGTCGACTCAGTGTATCTTTCACCTCTTATTAGAAACATTTTCGCTTAGTCTCAAATGTGTCAGAGCAAGGTATTTAGTTCAGGGAAAAATAGTTGCAACAGGCAGTAGATATTTTGACACTACAGAGTAACTACATGAGATAGATAATAGATTGAAGTTAAAAAGTGAGAAGTCCATTTCTGGTGTCCCCCACCATGATATTGTTGGAACATTGCTAAAAGTGGCGTGAAACCATACTCACTCACTCACTCATGTGAGTGTATGCCTGTTTCTCCAGTTTCAGACATCAGACAGCTGACACTTGTATGACGTCAGTTACATGTCAGCGGTCATGAGCATATATTGCAGTGACCCCTTGACCATTGAAGCTCAAACTATTCTTGACACCCAATCGTTTTTAAGTGGCCCAGATTCAATATTCAATATGGCTGCTTTGGTAGCCATATTGATAAACCTATTTATGGCTCTTACTCTGCTACTCATTCAAAGTGTAAAGAAATTTGGTTTGTGTTTAGTTAGTTCTGACATTCGTTTTTTCAGGATAGTTTACAATTGTTGTAATTTTGCATTTGGTATGAAATTCCACCAAATGTATATCTGACTCACTATATTTTTTGTCTGAAATTACCAGACTGGTGAACTTGTAATGGAATGATATTTTGCTCAAATCATTTGATGTTGGTTTTAGGTTTTAGTTCTCAGTATTTATGCCCTAAATGTTTCAACATCAATGCTGAAGGTACCATTTCATATGCATATCCAGGCGGAATAAGGTGCGATGGAACTATATTCTCCATTTCTGTTCGATATGCACTGACTGTTCCGCTCTGTTGAAAGAAACTGTTTGTAATTCTGTGGTCGAACTCTTCGGTTTTGATGTTGAAGACCAAACAGAGCCACAGATCCTGATTCAATTTGCTGGCTTGAATCATCAAAGGGATGGAAATTCACATCCAAGCTTACAGGATTATCTGTGGTCCAGTTAGAACTAACTCTATCACTGTGGTCCAGTTAGAACTAACTCTATCACTGTGGTCCAGTTAGAACTAACTCTATCACTGTGGTCCAGTTAGAACTAACTCTATCACTGTGGTCCAGTTAGAACTAACTCTATCACTGTTGTCCAGAAATAACTCTATCACTGTGGTCCAGAACTAACTCTATCACTGTGGTCCAGTTAAGAACTAACTCTATCACTGTGGTCCAGTTAGAACTAACTCTATCACTGGGGTCCAGTTAGAACTAACTCTATCACTGTGGTCCAGTTAGAACTAACTCTATCACTGTGGTCCAGTTAGAACTAACTCTATCACTGGGGTCCAGTTAGAACTAACTCTATCACTGTGGTCCAGTTAGAACTAACTCTATCACTGTGGTCCAGTTAGAACTAACTCTATCACTGTGGTCCAGTTAGAACTAACTCTATCACTGTTGTCCAGAAACTAACTCTATCACTGTGGTCCAGAACTAACTCTATCACTGTGGTCCAGTAAGAACTAACTCTATCACTGTGGTCCAGTAAGAACTAACTCTATCACTGGGGTCCAGTTAGAACTAACTCTATCACTGTGGTCCAGTTAGAACTAACTCTATCACTGTGGTCCAGTTAGAACTAACTCTATCACTGTGGTCCAGTTAGAACTAACTCTATCACTGGGTCCAGTTAGAACTAACTCTATCACTGTGGTCCAGTTAGAACTAACTCTATCACTGTGGTCCAGTTAGAACTAACTCTATCACTGTGGTCCAGTTAGAACTAACTCTATCACTGTGGTCCAGTTAGAACTAACTCTATCACTGTGGTCCAGTTAGAACTAACTCTATCACTGTGGTCCAGTTAGAACTAACTCTATCACTGTGGTCCAGTTAGAACTAACTCTATCACTGTGGTCAGTTAGTTACTAACTCTATCACTGTGGTCCAGTTAGAACTAACTCTATCACTGTGGTCCAGTTAGAACTAACTCTATCACTGTGGTCCAGTTAGAACTAACTCTATCACTGTGGTCCAGTTAGAACTAACTCTATCACTGTGGTCCAGTTAGAACTAACTCTATCACTGTGGTCCAGTTAGAACTAACTCTATCACTGTGGTCCAGTTAGAACTAACTCTATCACTGTGGTCCAGTTAGAACTAACTCTATCACTGTGGTCCAGTTAGAACTAACTCTATCACTGGGGTCCAGTTAGAACTAACTCTATCACTGTGGGTCCAATCACTGTTCAGTTAGACTAACTCTATCTCTCTCCAAGTTAGAACTAACTGTGGTCCAGTTAGAACTAACTCTATCACTGTGGTCCAGTTAGAACTAACTCTATCTCTGTGGTCCAGTTAGAACTAACTCTATCACTGTGGTCCAGTTAGAACTAACTCTATCACAGTGGTCCAGTTAGAACTAACTCTATCACTGTGGTCCAGTTAGAACTAACTCTATCACTGTGGTCCAGTTAGAACTAACTCTATCACTGTGGTCCAGTTAGAACTAACTCTATCACTGTGGTCCAGTTAGAACTAACTCTATCACTGTGGTCCAGTTAGAACTAACTCTATCACCATCACAGCATGGAGCAGGCTCGTTAACAAGGTAATAAGATGGGGGTAGTTGTGCCACGCAGGTATCTGAACTTTCCACTCATTCCCAAGGGAACATGGGCGATGTTCTCAGTTTGTTTGGCTTTACGTCTGATACTGTAATTCATTGATTTCACATCGAAAATTTGATTCATTGAATGCTGAAGGCAGTTCTATGTTTAGAGGTAGGAGAAAGTAATGTGAGCTTCAGACATTAATGCTTGGGAGTCTTCACTTTGATTTTCTACACTCCTCCTCGGATTGCTGTACAACTTATTTGGGAAAACATTCTTGGACAATTCCTGCTGCAGAGAATATCGCTAGATTGGATTCTGTTAAAGGAGTCGGTTGAAGTAGAATTACCTGTTTATTAGATGGAAGCTTATATTCCATGAAGGTTATTAAAAATGGTTCTCATCAGTGTATGTTGTTCAGAGTGACATGTTTTATTTCGCTCTGGGTGAACCATTAAGAATGTTGTAAAAATGTACATAGAAACGTCACCAATGAATTTTTTTTAAATATTTGTCTTCGATGTATTTTGTTCAGAGTGACATGTTTTATTTCGCTCTGGATGAACCAGTAAGAATGTTGTAAAAATGTACATAGAAACGTCACCAATGAAATTTTTTTAAATATTTGTCTTCGATGTATTTTGATCCGTGACATGTTTTATTTGACTCCGGATGAACCAGTAAGAATGTTGTAAAAATTTACATAGAAATGTCACCAGTGCCATAAACCAGAAATTGTTTTCTATAAAGTCATATGATTTCTTATTTATTCACCAACTTCTAAAATACCATCCAGCAATAAATAATACAAATTTTATATAATATTTTGAATGCTGGGAAATTTGTGCTGAGTAGATCTGTGATAAACTCTTATTTGGCCAAGGGCCCCGTTTCCCAAGCTATCATAGCTCTACGACTGTCGTAAGTCTATGTTACAGTATATGAGTAAGGACAGTCATAGCGCTACAATAGCTTTGTGAAACGGGGCCCTGATTTGATGGCTGCCTCAAGACAGACATGGGAGAAGGCCAGGGTGTAGTCTGTCTCAAAGTCCCTGAACCACATTATTTTCCCTACTGCCAAGCCCTATCTGATGTGCTAAAGCCCTAAATAAAGCAAGTCTAGATTTCCTCAGGTTCTCACATTTCCTATCTCACTGAATCTCTGGTTTATATATTCAGAGACTAAGCTTTAGTCTAGCCAGGGTGTTCTACAGCAGGTATACAGAATGAATAACATGCATAAAATGCCTTTGTTGTTGGGGAATGTGCTGACATGGTCAGTTTTTATTTTATTTTCTCATTTAATTTGTTTATATTTGCCTTTGAACAAACAATTTTGTTGTTTTTCAGGTTGAAAGGGAGATCGCCATTATGAAGTTGATAGAACACCCGCATGTGCTTGGATTATACGATGTTTATGAGAACAAAAAATACCTGTGAGTATTAAATGTTTATGTGAATGTTTTCCATATCGGATTCCATTGCAGTGGCAATAACTGCATGTGAAGAATGTGATGAATCTTTTCCCAGATTTGTGGCAGATGCTGTAGCAGATCCTGAAGGAAATCAAATTTTCGCCAGCATTAAGTTTTCAGTTCATTTAGGTGTTAGCGGTGTTTCTTCTTGAAACCTCCCTTGGTGCATCTGTCAGGAGAGTAAGAACATTTTCAGATTTATGTTGATTTGTCATCGATCTGATTTTATTTTATGACTTGTATTTGTGGCTTGAATGCTTCTCGTTAGTATGTTTTATGTTCTTCGTGAAATGATTCCACGTGACCTTGACATTCACTTCTGACGAAACTTTGGATGGATATGCTGACCAGTGTTAACATCTGGTGTTTTGTCATTGGAACACCTACTGTCTTGTCTTTGGAAAACTCAGTGTGATCTCTTCATGGGACAATCTGTTGTGTCTCAAGAAAACTTAGTGTCATTGGAATGTGTGGTGCATTGAAACACCTGGTGTCGTGTCTTATAACACAATGCCTGATAAACTGACCTATGTAATGGAAACACCTATAGTGGTGCATTGAAACACCTGGTGTCATGTCTTATAACACTAGGCCTGATAAACTGACCTGTGTATTGGGAACACGTATGGTGGCGCATTGAAACACTTGGTGTCGTGTCTTATAACTCTAGGCCTAATAAACTCACCTTATGTATTGGGAACACATATGGTGGCGGTTGTGGCATTGAAACACCTTGTGTCGTGTCTTATAACACTAGGCCTGATAAACTGACCTGTGTATTGGGAACACTTATGGTGGGGCATTGAAACACCTGGTGTCGTGTCTTATAACACTAGGTCTGATAAACTGACCTGTGTATTGGGAACACATATGGTGGTGCATTGAAATACCTGGTGTCGTGTCTTAAAACACTAGGCCTGATAAACTGATGCTTGGTATGAGGTGTTAGAAACACCTGGTGGCTTGTAACGCTAGACATGATGAACTGACCCTATATATATATATATTGGGAACACCTGGTATCAAGTGTTATCTACACCTGTGTGCCGCCCAGTGACTGTGTAAGCAAGTGTTAATGTAAGGAGGTGGTGCAGCCTGGCAGTCCGGTGATACAACCAGCCCCGACTGTTGCCTCTTTCCATAAGTGCACCAACAATATGGCCGCCGCCACCAAGATTGAGTATCGATTGCGGTTCTGTCAAATCTTTTACTCAGTGAATATATCTCCAGAAGTCCATGTGTCAGTGAATAATTGTCGTATCACTACACTCGAATATATGTGGTATTATGTTAAATTTTCATATCACTTTTTACGTAGTGCTATCTGAAAACCTTTTCATTGATGTCTATTAAGATACAAATGTAATTATTTTTTATATCATTAGGGAAATAATCTTTCTTAACAATGAAACATAATTTAAGCTGAAAATGAGTAGGAATATTGCAGACACCATACAATGCGATGTGTACACCATAAATGTATAGTTTTCAACATTCAAACAATGGTTTATGCCAGATCAAAGTACATTGTATACATTCCCATAAAAGATGTTTGTGTTTTGAACTTCTGACTGAAAAACATCACACACAAAAAAACCTTCCTCCTCCGAAATATCAATTAGTCTATAATGGAGTCTATGTAGTTTCTACTGAAGCTTCCCAAAGATGTTCCTGGCCTTTGTAGAGGCTCCATAGGCCAACTGAAATAAATTGTCACCTTTTTATCCGATAAGTTGGTCTCCTGACAGCGTAGGTTGTATTATTCAATAGGCAGAGACTCCATTACTGTATGGTGTGATGGACGAGTTGAGATGGATGTGCTCCGAGATGAGTATCCAACTAAGTTTAATAGATGGCTGAACGATTTTCCGATTAGTTGATTATTTTATCGCTTAACCTTCTCAGCGTTATACAACAGGTTCATGGACTTGACCAGATTTGGTATTAGTAACGGTTGATTGGCTGCTAATGTTCAACAGAGGTTGTGTAGATGGCACAGTATTCTTGGTTGGATGTTTCAGTAAATGTGGCCAAAAATAGGAAGGATAACAATATATGGATGAACAAGTTCTTTATTACAGTGAGAATGACGTTTCGATGTAGGCTCTAACACCGTCATCAAGCTAGTGAAGTTGTTAATTCATATATAGAGGATATTATATGAGTGCCCATGTCATACTATGTTTACGACACGTCTCAGTGCCTAAATGTGGGTATTTCCCGAGTGAGAGTGAGGGATATACCGATATTTAGGCACGATTGTCGTAAACATAGTATGATATGGGCACGAATATAATATTCTGTTTATTACCGAAGTCGTCAAATTGAAGAAAATATACCCAAATCTACCTTCAAAAACAGGCTGGCTACCAGCCGTCGCCGCATGTAGAACGCAACATCACAGAAGAAATGTGACGTCATAGCCTTGTTCATGACGTCACGTCACCATGACAAAGTGATATTTTGCCCTAGGCATCGTATGAAAAATATGAACCCTGATATGTTCGCCTTCGTGGGTAATAAATTGTTATCCTTAATGCTCCAATGTCTAAATACCTGGAAATAACAAATAACTGGAATAACTGAGATTACACGTCTGTCAGTTGTCTGAAGTATAACTGCTTCAAAGTGTCAGTGTCAGTATATGTATATAAAGAGTCGTGTCCCTTAGACATTCTAGGATCCTGTGATCATGGATTGAATCTCTGAGTATCTACTCAGCCTATCACAAACTAATTTATGAAGAGAGCTTTCATATGATATGCATCATGAAATAAAAACATCCAAAATCATAATCTCACATTAGTGATCCAGAGGGGTGATGACCCCTAGGACCTTAGAGTGATGAGGGTCTTAGGACCTTAATATATATATATATATTAAGGCTGTAACGATTCACTCGCATATTCGGTGAATCGAACCGTAGCCCTTCATGAATTCAATTCGTTATTCGTGGTCACCAGAACCGAATATTCATGAATATTTACAATTTTTATAAGGGATTGTGTTTTACTTAAACCCTTATGTCCTTTTTCAAAACGAGATATGCAAGAATGCAATATGTACTAGCCTTGTAGTAGCCCAAGTCATGTTAGTTTGCCAAGGGCAAACATGTTACTGTCAACTATAACTATTACATACAAAATTTGAGTGTCATGAGATGACTGGTTATTGCTGAGACAAATTAACACTGTCAACATGGGCATTCAATTATTGTGCATCAATCACTTAACTACAATATTGTATTCATGAATAATTATTCGTATTCGTTACCTAATATTCGTGATACGTATCATATTCGCAACATGGTGTATTCGTTACAGCGCTAATATATATATATATATATAGACAGATAGATTCCGAGTGTAAATTAATTGAAACCATTTGTGTTGCAGTTTGTGTTGGCTGCCGTGCCAGTTTGACTGGAATATGTTCCCTAGGCTATATTTCATGAACCAAGAAAGACATAACTAACTTAGTTTAGTCGATATGTGTCTCCTTCTATGCCATCCACACACACACACACACCAAACCATCCCACACACCGCAATGATAATTCCCTATAGTTTCACACCATTATTCCCATATATATATTACCAACAATATCCTATAACGAGGTTCCCTAAAATGAAAATCCAGGTTCGGTATGAAAGCAATTTCCTCACGAATGCTTGTGTACACAATTCCCAGTACATGCTAACGATTCTCCATGTATTCACAGCAATAAGTCCAAATAAATGCACACACACTCCCTAATGATACCCAGAAATTGATGATATCTTTACCAGAGAATAAAGAACTTCTATTTTCTTTCCATTCCATCACTAGGAGGGTGTCCAGTTACTGCACATACAAGCAGTGTTGTGTGATAGATGTTTGTAGGATGCGGGTGGCAGTCCATCCTATTGAAGGTTTCGCCTCCACAGGAATATCACATCTGCTAATTAGGAGCCAGAGTCGGAGATCATCTAGGCTTGTAATTGATTGGAAAATCGTGTACAGAATTAGCTAGTAATTGGTTGTTGTGAGAGTAGTATATCAATCACAAGGATTCGCATCACGGCCAATTATTTGCTTGTATGATTCTTCTGTGCTGGAGGATGGTGAAGAATTTGCCATTTAATTGAATCCGAGGCAGAGATGATTTGCTTGTGTTAATGAGGTTAATGGCTGCAGGATTAGCAGAGTTGTGGATCATTTCTTGCAAAGGTTGTATTGCTTGGCGCTAATTATCTGATGATTTGATGCTGCTATGATATCTAAGTTATTCAATAAGTGATGGTTATATTTGTATCTGTTATAAATGTCTTCTGGTAGAAGGCAGCCCAGTTGTAAAACATATGGTAACTTGCCCTGCAGAGTGGTCCCCCTTTGGTATGTCAGACATTCAAGGTTTCCCTGATTACGTTTCTAGATTTGTCAGTGTCATACTGGTGCTCGTGGGTTACGGCTAAATGGTAAATGTCTAGGACAGAGTACTATATATAGTGGCATTACACTACCTACCTACCTACCTACCTGAGTCTGACTGACTGAGTTTGGTTTTACGCTGCTTTTAGCAATATTCCAGCAACATCACGGCCGGGGACACCAGAAATGTGCTTCACTCATTGTACCCATGTGGGGATTCGAACCCGGGTCTTCGGCATGATGAGCGAATGCTTTAACCACTAGTCTACCCAACCGCCCCTGTAGGTAGGTAGGTAGGTGGGCGGTGGGGTAGCCTAGTGGTTAAAGCGTTGGCTCGTCAAGCCGAAGACCCGGGTTCGATTCCCCACATGGGTACAATGTGTGAAGACCATTTCTGGTGTCCCCCGCCGTGATATTGCTGGAATATTGCTAAAAGTGGTGTAAAACTATACTCACTCACTCACTTGTCAGGACATTGTTCTAACGCTAATCTTCTCTAATTTGTCAGCTGGAGATGATGGTGTAGCCTAGTGGTTAAGTGTTTGCTCATCACACCGAAGACATGGGTTCAAATCCTCACATGGGTACAATGTGTGAAGCCCATTCCTGGTGTCCCCAGCCATGATATTGCTGGACTATTGGTAAAAGCGGCATAAAACTCGCCCACTCTTGTGAGCTGACTGCCTCAGAGAATTGGTGAGGCTTTTATGGTAAAGGATTTAAAGTGACCTAAAATCTGGAAAATTATCATAATATTGCCCTTGACACTGTGACATTTGAAGAACAAATTCCAAGAATCTTTGTATCTGTATTGTCAGAGCTGTTACTCCTGTTCATGGCCTCGTCAGCTATATGTAAAATGGATCCTGAAAACATTTATCATCTGAGCTGTTTTTGTACTCTAGAATTTCTTATACAAATGTTTTTTGTCCCTGAACTGTCTAAAACTTTGCAATCGGGAAATTACTTAAATAAACAGTCATGTGACTGAATGGTGTGAAGTGGTAATGACAAATTACAGTAATAGTTGTGGGGTCTATCTCTGGTTATTTACCGGGGGCTTCAATGTTATTCTAATTGTGTTGTGCAAACACAATGATGTCGGCAGAGTTCCTGAAGATGTATGTCAATCTCTAGTGGAACACTGGATGTAAATATTGGTACACGTCTGCTCCAGCACTCATGTCTGGACCGTGGTCAGTTGACCACAGGGTCGGGTTTCGGGACAATTTAATTCTCCCAGTGCCGCTGTGGATTGTTTGCAGATTGGTAGACCTCACAGTGTTGCGTAAGGATTGTTTAGTTGGGGCACAGGCTACCCATTTATCTAAAGTGCCAAGGTTTGCTGAGTTCTTTGCAGGCAAAGGGGGCACAGGTGGACAGACTTATTTTTTTAATATATATTTTGACAGAAACAATAATTCCTTTTTTAATTGAAAAGGGTTGAACCTGAGGAAATCTAGACTTGCATCATATACTAGCTAAAAGAATATTGGAATATTGCTAAAAGTGGCATAAAACTAAACTCACTCACTCACCCATGTCACAGCCAACACAAGGACACCTTAGACACTTGGTGCAATGCATGGTTGACAGTGGTGGTTGGTATTGCTGGGATTTTTGTGTGAAGTCAATTTCTGTTGCCCGCCGCTATGATAATGCTGCAATATAGCTGAAAGCGGCGTAAAACCAAACTCACTCACTCACTCTGCTTGCAGGTTTCACAATCTGTGGAAAACCTCTGAGGCATGCATCACTTTGGGCTTTCCTTCCACATCAAGCCTACATGTAGTCTGTCTCACAGTCCCTGAACCGCATTCTCCCTACTGCTAAAGCCCTAAATAAAGCAAGTCTAGATTTCCTCAGGTTCTGAATCTCTGGTCTCCCTAGGGCTCCTTTTCAATTTAAATGGGCTTGTTTGTTACTATCAAAATTATATATGTTCAGAAACTAAGCATTAGTCTAGCCTACATGCTGTGATGTGGTGGTGGTGGTGGAATTGGGTTTAACGTCGTGCTTGAGAATATTTCGCTCATATGACGACGTGCATGCGTGTGTATGTGTATGTGTGGCTGCTTGTACTAGCCCAGACTTAAGCTGGTTTTATAGTGCTAGCCCACTGAGATACCATGCCGCAGTGAAGCATGAATACCCCACTCAGACACATTATACTGACTCCCGAGCCGACCAGTCCTTGTTGTACCCATTAATGCCGAGCGCCAGGCAGGGACCAACAAGTACCATATTTTAACGTCTTTTGGTATGACGCGGTCGGGGATCGAACCCGCGACCTTCCGCACTCCGGGCGGACGCTCCAACTACTACACCACGGAGGCGGTCTGCTGTGATGTAACTGGAATAATGTTCACAGCAGCGTTAAACCCAAATCACTGACTGTGATGGCCAGAAGTCAGCTTCCTGTGTATGTTTATGATGTATAGATTTCCATGTCGTCCTTCCTCCCAGCTAACACATTACACCTGTTTGTTCAGACGGATGCTGGTGTTTTGTGATGTTTATAATTATCTGTTGTCAGTTATCCATCAGATAGGTCTGTTTTCACAACATGACTGCTGTGTTGACATGGACGTAGTGTGCATGCACAAGCAAGGGGCAAACAGGGTTCTCAAACCAGACTGATAAATTAGTTTGTTTGTTTTCACTTTGTCTGATTGCCAGAAAATCTTAGTTGACATATCTAGCTTCCATAGTAAAAACAATTACGAACAGCGAGTAGAGTTCTATGGATATACAAATTCTTTAATATTGATATGAGTGACGTTTTTGTGTAGCTACTAACATCGTTATCAAGCAAGCAACATTTGTTCTTTGGAAAATAGTATGATGTTTCAAAGACAACATGTTTTCAGCTCTTCATTTGATTTTGTTGAAATGGTGTTTATGAAAGCACAAACAAATTTCATTTACTGTAGGTTTGAATTGGGGCAACATGCTGCACAGATCACACAATTGCGCACAAATTAATCCAACGTAATAATAAAATTAGCTTAAAATGTAAAGGGAATAAACTGTATATGTTTTATGTATTAACTTAGTTCTTCAGTATTTCCAGTTTGGAATTTCTAACTCATTTGTGGGAGACATTTCAGAGAAGATTAAACAATGTAATACCAGTGGAAAGATTATTCTATATTTCGTTCTGTGACTCACTAAAAACCAGAAGACTTGACTTATGTTAAACCCTCTTTGACTTACCAAGAAAAGCAGCAGTACGTACAGGGCTTCACGACCCTGAAATGAAGTCTCAGGCCCTGGTAACAATAGCGCAGAAATTTTGATGATGTCTGAGCGTCATCCAACCCTTCCAGTCACTTGAAATCTCATGAAGGTGAAGCAGACGCCCTTTGTTGACCTCTCAGACACACAGACATGTTGTAACAAGACTTAGTATTACACAATCAGAAGATCATAGGTTGTCATAGAGACCTCTTCAGACCCACATATCACATCAAACAAAACCTTTCCGCTTGGTAGCAGTCAGACATTTTCGAGGAGCCTCAAACAGTTTGGAAATCTTACGGTTTTGAAATATATTTTTAGGCAACATGCAACATCAGTGCCTGTGTTCATCGTCAAACACAGGGCTATGTTCACATAAGCCTGTTCGAACATCCACTGAACAATTGGTGGCAGTGGGAACGTGCCCGATGCATGTGGTCTGTAGGCTAATCAATGAAAGATGATTGGTCAGAGCTGGAACAGACGGAACTTGTCAGGGTGGTGAGGGCGGTCATGTTGAAAAACCATGCTTAGAGTAAAGGGAATATTGCATTATGGGTGCTAGTACATGATCTCTCCTTTCAGTCAGGTTTTGTTGTTCAGGTTGTCATGTGTTTTGTGGTCATGGTAGAATTATGTGCAGGAACAAGTCTCAACATACTTATGGATGGATGTTTTGATGAGGATTTCACCTCTAACTACTTCTTATGAAAATTTGTTACGTCTCAAGTTGAAATTTCTCTCATCACCTTATGTGCCATTGATAAAATATTGCTGAAAGTGCCATAAAAGCTGTACTTACTCTGAACATTTGTTTTTGAAATAATGTCTGTGTCAGATGGTGTGTAAGAGTTTCTTGTTGAATTGCTAAAAAATTGCTGCTTTTGGGGAGAATGATATTTCAATTGTAAGTGTTTCCTGTAAATTTGTAGCTTTAGGTGTTTTTGGTTTTTAGTGACAGAAATTGCAATATTGTAGAGGTGTATTTTCTTTACAAACGATATCTGATGATTTGTGGGTTAATTGTATATTTTTCTTTATGTTATTAAAAGATTCCTTGATAATGAGGTTGATGTGCCAGGCAAGACAGTGTTCCTTGGAAAGTTCATTACACAAGATTCCTAAGATTATCCATGACTTATCAACAGAAATTTTTATATGGAATTGCTTTCTTGTGCCCTGAATTTGCTTTCTTGAGCCCTGAATTTAGTCATTTTGACAGTCTTCAGAAGCCTATCTTCAAAGATATGTCCATACTAATGAAGCAGATTCATCGCCACAAAAGTAGATCGATAATAATTATCTGTACCAGAATTTAAGAGCATAGTAAATGTTCAAGGCTTAAGATATGAAATCCATCTTGAACTTGAAAGTCCCCAAGAACAGGCATCAGAAGTTCATCTTTCCTCTGGACAAAGATTAGCTTGAAATCATGGTGGATTTTGTTGTGGAGTAATTTACAATGATTTTACACAGAGCTGACAGATACCAGATCAATAGCTTTTAGCAAAATACTAGGCCATACCTTTATCCTAATGGTCATATGGGTTTCCTGCATCTCCCTGAAGGTAGCCTCTCATGGGGGAGACTGGTGTGAAGATCTGCCAGACATTCAGGTCATGGAGGGGAGCCTTGTGTGAAGATCTGCGAGGTATTCAGGGCATGAAGGATGCTTGTGTGAACATCTGCCAGACATTCAGGTCATGGAGGGGAGCCTTGTGTGAAGATCTGCTAGATATTCAGGGCATGAAGGATGCTTGTGTGAAGATCTGCCAGATATTCAGGGCTTGGAGAATGCTTGTGTGAAGATCTGCCAGGTATTCAGGTCATGGAGGGGAACCTTGTGTGAAGATCTGCAAGACATTCAGGTCACAGAGGGGAGCCTAGTGTGAAGATCTGCCAGACAATCAGGGCATGGAGGGGAGCCATGTGTGAAGATCTGCAAGACATTCAGGACAGGGAGGGGAGTTTTGTTTGATTGATATGGTTCCTGAAGACCATTTCTAACCCATATCTTCACAACTCAAGTCTCTCTAAAACCAAATCTTTTACTCATGTGATGATTCCTCTCTGCATGAAGCACATCAGCTGAGAACTGTGCAGAATATGACACCCATTGTAAATAATGTTTGTTTGTTGTTTAACGCACACACAGCATTATTCCCGCTGTATGACACCACATCCACCAGGATGACCTGTAGAGGTGTCCTCAAATAGGTGTTCTCAGATCTTCATATAGAAAGGTGTTTATCTAGGGAAGGGAAGGTTTGAATGAGATTGCTATGAATCACAGAGACTCATGACTATTTGATCCATGTCATTTTTGTTTTAAGATTCGAGTAATCAGATCAGTCCCCGATTTTTTACTTAGGTTAGAGTTTTTACTCAAATTTGAGAAAATGCATTTTCCAGAATGAACTGAAATTGATATTAAACTCAGACATAGTAGACCATTTGAATTTCGTGGATAGAGTACTTGAGTTGTTTAGGTTTTTTATTTTAAAAGTGCAGTTGATTTAAAAATTCAGCTGTTTCAAATTGTCAAACTCAGCTTGAGATTTGAGTAAATAAATAAGTTTGTTTCAAGATGGGGCCAGGTTGTTGGACTCACTGACTTTGTGATTGTATCCCAGTCACATAGGTTGATGCTCATGATGTCACTCACTAGATTGTCGTGGTCCAGACTCGCTGGTCTCACCCAAAGAATAAAACTTTTAATCACAACATTTTACACCCGTCCTTCACACACAAAACTTCCACACACAAAGTAAAGTGGTGTTTCATTATTTAGATTTAAGACTGCAGTAAATAGTATGTACAGATAAGTGATCTGTGTATTGCACTTCTTCACTGATTTTCTTGTCAGTTTTGTGGCGTCTGCTCCTTGCACTCAGCAAGGTCACTCAATAATTCCCCGCCACCAATGACCTGGCTGGATTTGGAACAGCAGACTTGAAGATGGGAAACTCCATTAGGGTCAAGTCTTGTCTGACCAGGGCCGACCAGACACGTCCACAGAGATGAATAGAGGAGGTGATCGTATGGCGGGTAGTATGTTCAAGTCATAAATCTGCCGAGTCTGGCTTGAGACAGATGCACATCACTTTCGATAGTATAATCACAGTGGGATACCAGTGTCTGGTTGGTCTATCTACTCAAGCCTATTTCTTTATGAAATTTAGGAGCTCTAAAATGGAGGTTAATGTTTTTCTGTCCAAAATTTGGATACTTTTCTGGAATGAGTTGTCCCAGACTCGTAATGGCAGGATCTTCTGTAGCCTTCTTCACCCTCACAAGTGATAGGCTACTGGGCTTTGAGGCTTGGCAAGGATGACAACTTTATAGCTGAACAAGGAGTTTATTGGACAGGTGTGAATTAGTCTTGTTTGAAGAGACCTTTAAATGTGTCATCAGTAGACAGTTAAGGTCATCACATCAGTGATACTATCTCGGTCTGGGACTTAGTGCTGGACAGTATTATGTCCTAGTTACCTTTGAATATCAAGTCTTTGAATGGCATTTAGTGGTGATATACATATGGTAGAGAATTGATGAACGTGGTGGTGGTGGTGGAATTGGGTTTAACGTCGTGCTTGAGAATATTTAGCTCATATGACGACGTGCATGTGTGTGTATGTGTATGTGCGGCTGCTTGTACTTGCCCAGACTTAAGCTGGTTTTGTAGTGCTAGCCCTCTGAGATACCATGCTGCAGTGAAGCATGAATACCCCACTCAGACACAATATACTGACTCTGAGCCGACCAGTCCTTCTTGTACCCATTAACGCCGAGCGCCAGGCAGGGACCAACGAGTACCATATTTTAACGTCTTTTGGTATGTCGGGGATCGAACCCGCAACCTTCCCCACTCCGGGCGGACGCCTTACCACTACACCACGGAGGCGGTCTGATGAACGTTAGCAACGATAACGTTCATAGTATATAAAGAAGCCATATTACCTTCTGCCATGAAGTGTGAGTTGTACAGGAACTGGTGCTGTCTGTCTGTCTGTCTGTCCTTACTTCCGTCAGTCCGTCATGTTTTGTTTCTGTTTTGTAAGTCAAGGACTAGATATTGTCTGATCAGTCTTGGCAAAGACATCAGTCAAATTCATGAACTGTTGCCTATTACGATTAAGAACTTTTCTTATTTTTTTCATGAAAACAATTTGGACAATGAGGGTAGGAGTCTATTTCCTAGACTGTTCAATATTTCTCGGGTATCAGCCTAGCCATGAACTCATACTGTTAGCTATTTGGACATTTCACAAAAGTATATACTTTTCTGGTTTCCATGACAAATCCTGATAAGTGAAGATGTCATGTTCAGAGCTTAGCACCTGACCATTATCATTTCTTTACTTCATACATCATACGTCAGCTTTTGAATTTTATGTTTTATTTTTTGTATTATTTTTTTTTACTTTTGTCAAAACTATTTTACTTGTTCTGTCAAAATGAATGGAAAAACACTAGTGTTTCCAATGGTAACCACTCCTCCAGTGGTATCCTCACATAAGCATCATCCTATTGAGATGACTAAAGCTAACTCTCAGCTCACAGCGTATTA